GTGTCAATTAACGGTCATTCGGAGCGACCATCACCTGCACGATGTCCATGATGCGATTTACAACACCTGCATAGTGTACGCCTAACTGCACACTCTTGCATCCCTGAATACGAGTAATACGATGAGCACAGTACTAGTTCATCTATGTTTGTCGCAGAACATTTGATTAAAATGTGGACAAGTTAGTCAGGTATGAGTTATCTCTTTATATTTTTGCAGCCTGCAGGTGCTTCAAACATTCCAGCATTTATTCACTGACAGTAAATGTTTAACTGTAGACATCTGCCTTGCAAACAGCTTTATATTAATCAAACTTACTTATGTAGGAATCAGACCCCCTGGCGGTTACGTCGTCTGCATAAGATCAAGAGACCCTTTAATATTTTCAGCCATGCATTTTGACACTACGTCCTAATAAGAGTTCTTATACTCTTTTGACTTGTCCATCCGAAACCGACAAGGTGCATGATGGTTAGATCTCCAACCGCAATTCAGGCGGTACCAACAAAGATGAACCAAATCAGATTCCGGTACAATAAAAACATTCGTAATTACTAGGAGTCTAAAATACAACGTCGAGCAACTCCTGAGCAGGCGGAACACCCACCCCCGCGTAGCAATGTCAGCCATCCCAAGCTAGGACGGACCACTGGCTGGCAGGGCTCACCCGACTAAGTTAATCCTCAAATGTTACAGGCTTTTTTATCCTGTGGCGATCGTGCGTAAATTGAGTTCGATAGGTCCGTATATTGTGGACTATTTAGTAGGGAATTTCTTATCACAGACAAATAAGACTATGCAATTTAGAACAAAGATTTCCTATGCATGAATGAAAACTTTCAGGTAAGATGCGGTTTGGTAGTCCCACCTGATGGACACAATACTGTTGCGGTTGCGGTTAAGGGTTAGGGTTAGGGGTTATGGTTAGGGGTTAGGGTTAAAGGTCAGGGTTAGCGGTTGGGATTTAGGATAGGGGCTTATAGTTGTGGGTTAAGGTTAGGGTTAGGGGTTAGCGCAACTATTTCTCAACCATTGAAAGTACAACCACGCGCTCCAAATAGCTATTCTTTTGCATACAACTACTTGACCTCGTCGCCTGTACGTTCCCCGCCTCCACCTGTAAAAACCCCTATGACCACCGGTCCCGTATAGAGGTGAATGGGGCTTGTTTCCTTCAGGTAGGGCTACCAAACCACATCCGACCAACCTCCCCTTTAGTTCCACAATTTTGGGTATGTATTATCTG